ATAAACAAAGTATGACGAAACCCACCTGATTCCACTTAAATGTGTTAAATGGCAATTTACATGGTGTATATTTTCTTACATGCGCCTTTTATTTAATTAAATCTGCGAGAGTCAGGGAAGAAAATAAAACCCCAGCTGGAGACAGAATTCTGTCTTGTCAGAAAAATGTCAAGACATTATAAAATAAGGTGTCACTAGGAGGATTTTCATTTCACTCTCAAGCTGCGGAGATAAACTTCCAAATATTGTGTTACCCTTGTGTTCGCTGAAGATTTATAACTTTCAAATTGCATGTTGACAGCCTATAAAAAGAATTAAGGTGATGAGATGAGATGGTGTAGATAATCGGATAGAGATGTATCATAGCTGACATTGACTGTATTGACCATGGGGAAACTTTATCAAAAACTAAAATTGAAAATGGCTCTTACTGATCTGATGATATTTGTTTGGAATGACCTTTATTTTCAACGTATTCATAGTAAATCGGCTGAATTGTTTATGCTTTGTAAATTAAATGCTAATTACACTACCAGCTACTTTACAATTTCTGTAAGCAGGGAAGATCTTGCCTTCACAGCTTATAGCATTGCACGGTGAGCTGCTGCTTGGATGACAATTTGTCAAACTTTTGGGCTACTACACATCCCTCCTTCATTCGGGCTAGTTTTAACGTGTTAAAGCTGCAGAACCTGCCACCCCTTTGATCCTATTCTGTTAAAATAAGGTTGGTTATCACATTTTATCTCCTTTTACACATTTATTAGACCTGGGCATTTATTTTGGGCTCTTTTATGCATTCATCCGAATGGCTGAAAGATATAAAGACCGAACGAACGAACGAACGAATAAGCACCAAATTATATTCTTTCATTCATCACTCGGCCATATTGGTAAATGAGCTGCTTTATTTTGGCAAATCAGCCCACTCCCATAACATGATGGTCAATGGGCTTAGTCAACAGTGTGTGCTGCAGCCTGTTTTTTTCTTTTCTTAAAAAGCAGGTTGAGGAAATTCTTAAGTATACATAAATTACATAATTGTGGAGCATAGGAAAAGATTATAATTACATATTGTACAAGAGAACAAGACTAGAGAGATTTGTATTTTCATCAATGTGCCATAGGCTGTTACTTACTAAGACTGACTGTTGTGTTTGGTTTGTGGAATTCCATATGTATGAATGGAATTTCTGAAATGAAAATAATGGACAAATTTCATCCAAAAACTAATAGACTATTGCCCGAAATTCATTTAGGCAGGGCCAAGTCTACTGTTTATGTGGCAGTAGGAAGCAAATTTTACTAGAGCTGCCATTAGCACCATAGGTGTGTTTGCATGAATTGTGAAAAAGGAGGGAAATATGGCATTGTGGAAAATTGGAGGTATGTGTTAATGGGGGAACTTGATGATATGACATTGGAAGAGTAAATTAAGGGAAAATGAAAATAGGCAATGTTGCTATATGGCAATGTAGGGATACACTGGGGAATATGTCAAATAGGATGATGACTTAAGGACATCTGATAATGGAGGCAATGATTTAATGCAGGTGATGAATGAGAAAATGTAGATTTTAGAGAGGAATGAAGGTGCGCAATTTTGAGTTGAGAATGAGGATACAGTGGTATATTACAACTATATAGAGAGAAAACATTGTCAAATATAGCTCAATGAGAGATATGTGTGAGGAGCTGTCTTTGCTGGGTTTCAAACCCTGGTTTCCATGCAACAGATCCTCTTCCTTAACAGTTCACCAGCCTGCCTTTTGCAGATTTGCCTGAGATCTGATAACCTTGACTCTACAAGCAATGATATTAGTGCCAACTCTCTTCAGCTGTGTCTGGTCAGGTGTCTGGTTCTTGGCCTATATCAGCCACTTCCTTCTCTGTACCTTTGCCAGATTATTGTGGTTCCTGTACTCTATAATCAAGCTTATTCCTGTTTTTCCTACCTGCTGCTGAATTTGGTCCATTTGACTTTACTGCTTCTCCTTCCCACTGACCTCAGCTTGCCCTACTACGATTACTATCTTTCTGTTCCACTCTCTCATCTCTGCTTAACACCAGATGGCCACTCAAAGCTCAGGGGTTCAACCACCTGGGTAACGAGTGGCTACTTCTGGCAGAAAACATTGCTGATCTGGCTGCTGGACTCCAAACCTTTGTAACATCAATACCATTAAAATATGACTGTGGGGTATTTGGAACACTGCCTTTACAGGAAGACCCAACAAGCGTCACAAGAAAAAAGACATCAGCAACCAGAACAATTCCACACTTAATACAGAGTTTGTAAATTGAGGAATGCAACACGAAGAAGATGCACAGATGAAAAAAAGAGGCGAAGGAGACCCCACCAAACAAAAACTCCATGTATACTGATTGTAACTATAAAACCTTCTTTAAGTCCATATACTCATTATAAAAGTAATTTTGCATGTTATTAAATTCAGTTTAAATGATACAGGGATATGCTTAACATTTAACCATCTTTAGTGAAAATAAATTACAAGATTATCATACTCATAAATGTAATAATACATAACACATAATGATTCTCTTTAAAAAATGTAATTGCTCAAAAAGCAAGTTAAAATGCTAAGCATTGTTGTAGCAATATCGTAATATCATTGCAGTCATAAGTGCTCTGAGTTATTACATCACCCTTTCTGTGCTGTGTATGATTACTGGACTGTATGGAAGAAAAGAAATACCCAGGCCCATCTGAGGTCTTTTTATTTGAAACAAGGACATGGAGACAACGTTTCGACTCCTCTCTGAGCCTTTATCAAGTCTCTTATAAAGGCTCAGAGGAGCCGAAATGTTGACTCTACTTTGTTGTTTCAAAAAATAAAAAAGACTGCCTTTTAGAAGAAACCTCAGCTGTGCATGGATATTTTTCTCTTCCATTTGATGTCTTCATGGATTGGCCCTCCCTTTCTGGAGCACCCTTCAGTAATTATTACCCCTTTTATAGTGTGTGCATTATACTCTTGGTTTTTGGTTATTTTATTTGCAAATTACTGGGCAGTATAACTTAGTCAAGTCTACATTGTAACCCTGCATCAATAGAGGTGGAGAAAACAGTGCATACCATAACAATTGGAGTATCAGGACTGGCTAAGAAGATACAGCCACTTTTTTGTACGTGCAGACTTTGTTTTTTTTTAACTATTTGCTTTTTGAAGCTTTATTTCCATAATGTCTCCAACTCTTGACTGGTTTATACTTTTAAATATTGATACTTACAAGCTGTATGTTTTGCATTGAAATGTACATACATACTGACATTTCTACATCTTCCCACATTTAAAATTACACCAGAACAAAGAACAGCAGTAATAATGTAATTGCGTATCTATTGGTTTATTATTTGAACCCATGAAATATTCTAAGATTCTTTTCAAATGTACAAATATCTCCTATTAAAAGATGCATTATTAATGCATGCGTTTTTCAAGCTATGGCCAAATGTAGCCCTTAATAAGTATGTTCATTATAAAACATTCAGATGGAATTACTAAAATGTTATGCACTAATCTCGTTCTCATCTGCACTGCGGTTCGACTTTGAAATGCTTAATTTCATCTTCCTGAACCTACATTATTTGATGTGCCTTATGAGGATTCTCATATTCGTAATTGTCAACAGCTGTTTGTCCAACCCCTTATCAGTGAGGCAGGTTCCATATCACCATCTGCAGCACAGACCGTTGCTTGGACAGTTCTCCAAACCTGAATATACAGTCACACTGCTGCTCGCTTGTAATGTGTTGCCATCTTGAAGCATTCAAGCAATTATGTCATTCATAACATGGCTATAATCCTGCAACTTCTCTAAAATCCTCAGCTGCACGCCACTTCTAAAATATACATGTGTTAGCGGTTGAGAGTTCATGTGACAGATCTTTGCACATGGAACACATACATGCTTATTTGTTTCTTTCTAATACAGTGCCAGCATCAAGCAGCTGATTTTCCAGGATCTTAATTCAAGCCAAAGTAAAACATACAATGTGATGTTGCTGCAATTTTGAAATCCATGCATTGTACAGCTGCACCTTGTGTTGGCAGCCTAACAGTCAATTTTCCCCTTTGGCTAAAATGGCAAAACAAAAATACTCCTCTGTCACTTTCTACAAGCTCAGCCAGTAGAACAATGGATTTGATCACAAAAAAAGATAGAGAGGAAAATGTAACAAATGCATGACAAGTTACATACATGTGTGGGTGAATACGCTTTTGTAATACCCATTGATGTAAATGAAAAAAAGCATGTTTTTTTCTTATCGACATATATGTTTTGTCTATAAAAAATAAAAAGGCAAAGATTCTGCTTGTTACGAGAGTTTTGGATGAATCATGCTATAATATATATAGGTGTATTTCAGTTAGAAAAGGCATATACTTAAAAACTGTTCATAGGTTGCGTTAAAAGTAAATCGAAAAGTATTCAAAGTTTGATGTTATTAGATGGAAAACCTTGATGACCTCAGAAGGCTTTTTATGCAAATCAATCTAATGCCTTCCAGTGGCATTGCACAGAATTGCTTTTAAGGATAGTTTGCATAAAAATATTTGTGACACATGAATAAACAGTTGTGAAATATTTTAATAATCCTAGTTATCATTTTTAGCTAGCTATAAAAAGGGACTCAGATGTATTACTTTTTTTTACTACAACATGTAGGGCCATGGGGATTGCTCAAAAGCTCCTAGCTGGTCACTTCTAGGATATTTACTAAACAGCAAATTATTTAAATCTAGAAACGTGGCAGAGTTATAAAAAATTAAAACAATCAATAAAACCTGCTTTTCAAAGATTTTCCAGCTTGGATATTTCCTATTTTTTTCATGAGGCTGACAAGCCACTGCTTAGTATCTCATTTATCACTGTCTCTGCAACTAGTATTTATCGACTTAACTGTTAATCAATACAGCACAGCTTAAATCGATCTCCAGGACTGATCTTGGATCCAGAATTTTACTATGTGATCATCTAAAGCAGGCTTCTCTAAACTCCGGCCCTCCAGATATTGCTGAACTCCAACTCTCATGATTCTTTGAATTAAATAGATAGGCTGAGAATTATGGAAATTGTAGTTCAGCAACATCTGGAGGGCCGGAGTTTGGGGAAGCCTGATCTAAAGTTACATGCTGACCATACTTGGAAGCTTTGCGGACTAAAAACACACCTGAAGATCTCACCCTTGTTCTTTTTCTTAGGAAAGAAAGTTGGTTTGTCGCATATACATGGTGTAGAGTGAGGTAGGTGGGACAATGTGGTCCCAGACATGGGCCTCGATTTCATTTTTTTTTTTTACAAAAATTCTTAGACTTTAATGGTGGCCTCTGTAGCTAAATCATTTACAAAGTTTATCCAAAAATATTAAATAATTTGAATAGCTTATCCAAAACTATTAAATCGAGGTCATGATCAGAAATGCTTTCGGCATCTTCCTAAAGTCCAGAAAAGAAAGGTTTGTTCTGAAAATTTGCAGTTAGTTTTCAGATTAACGTTTTAAAGGCACCATTACAGTTTACGAGAATCTTTGTAGATAAAACATTTGAAAAGATTATTAAAATATTAAACTGAGGTCTAGGCGCCTTTGGACAGAACCCCGCAGGTTCTCGTGTATGGAGATTGTGTGATCACTGAATAGTTTCCTCTAATTACAGAGGGAGAAAATCACTGTGTATATTAAAAATCTTCACAAACTATTTTAAACACACATGGATGTACAAAAATACAATCTGCTTGTATTGCAGAATAAAACCTTATTTTCACACCATAGTGATTTGATAACGTTCTCTACGAGAGGACATAACATTTTTTTCCAGCAGGAGTTAAAAACTGTGACATTCAGTGCAAGTATTTCCATGCGCTCAGCCAACAAAATAAAAAAAAAAGGAATCATAAAACCAACAGGGTTTCAGCTGTGTAACCAGAAGCTGTATTCTCTCCTCCGCCTTGCTATGCGTTTTAATAACCTTGGGTAAAGCAAGTCATTAGAGAATAAAGCCATTTTAGAAATCATCAAATTTAACGTCACCATTATCGCCTTTCTAATTTGTTTCTGACAACACAATGCATTTATTATCCTTTTGTTAAACTGGTATGGTAGATGACACATTTGGATATGGGAGGCATTTTTTTAAAGTGATGGCCAAGGTTGCCATGGCAATCCAGTGATAAAGCACAAAATAAAAACTGAAAAAAGATCTCAAACTAAAGAATTTCACAATGATATAGTGTACATATCTTACTAGAATCATACATTTTTATACTGTAAGTTACAAGCTAAATACATTATGCAGTCTCACAGAACAAATACGGGTTAAATAAATAATTAGCCCTTCCAGTGCCAATAGAATGTAGGAGTGTTATGCCTTTCATTTTGCTTGCAAAATATGTCCATTTTAAAAATGGGCAGTGGACTAGTGAGTGAGTGAATTATTAAAGGGAATCATCACTTATCATAATGTTATATTATATTTACTTACACCCATATTTAACAAATAAGTATTTGTTGAGGTGTAAAAATTTAACTATGTGGCAAAAGTGACCTCGCCACTGGTTTCTGGAGGGGCCTGTTTGCCAACCTCCAGCCCTGTGCCCATGGCCCTGTGGTGAACTTTGGGTAAATACATGGTTTGTGCCTTTTTCCCTGCTACGGTGCAGTATATAGGGCTTACCGAATGGAATAGGCTTATGGTGTTCACTTACCGAACAAACTGTCGAACAGCTGCACCACCCCCAAGTGGAGTGTGCAGCCTCTTAACCTCCCAGAAGCTGTGGTTAACTGCAGCTTAATTGACGAACGGCTGGGTGGTAGCCATACGTATAGTCGAACACGTGGCCATCTTGTTTAGTCGAACGCGTCCATCGGTATTTTGTCGTTGAGCGCATGGAACTAAAATCGAACACTCAATGGCACGAACACCGCTGGGACTTCCACCTCCAGTTAGGTTTAACTGGAATTTCACGAACGGAGCACCGTTCAGTAGATTTAATCTACTGAACCAGATACACTCATTGACTTTGTGCACAAACAGCTCCGTTTGACTATTTGAACATTACTTCAACTGTTGAAATAGATCGACCGCACAGCCTAATTCTCTGGAACTGTTTTGGGCATGAAGCCATGCGTGCAGTCGGTTTAAAAGAGACTTCCAACTAACTTTTCGACCCTTGAACCGATCTGGGTGATTTTTAAGTATGTTGTTCCCCCAGATCAGGACTATTGGGGTGTGTGACTGGGGGATGGGGTATGTTGTATTTTGGGGTACTTATCGGACTTTGTAAAAATGTGGGTTTTTTCTGCCTGGGGATAATTAAGTTAATGCATTATCTGCCTTAATTATATCACAAGCAGAGGGGAGGGATTGTGTACTGTATGAGGGAGTGTCATTCATGGTCACATTACTTTCATTGGTTTGTACACTTTGTGTCCCTGTGCCCAACAAGGTCCACCTAGGCGTCACCCTTGTTGAGAAAGCTGCATAAAAGGCAGTGTTCCTCCATTAATCCTCAGACTTCTTCACCCTCAATACTGAGTTCTGTCTCTTATTGTAGGGAACTACTATATCACTACTAGGGATTGCTATAATCACTATACTCCCTTGGATTCTTTGAGTTCTTGTAAGAGCTATTCCTGCTTGACTCTCTGGAGGAAGAGAGGTTCACCCACTGGAACCTGAAGCCTTGTCATAGGTCCAGGGTGGGTAAGAGACTCCAACCAAGATGCGGCGGTTCGTGGGGTCTGCAGTGCTGATGGTGTCTGGTAGAGCACTTGGAGGCCTCGATAAGCACTAGGAGCATCTGTTGGCGCATCCATTTTAGCTCCCTGTCAGTCATTGTTACAAGCTTTGTCCTTTTCACCTGACATCCTGCATAGCAAAAGCATTCAGAGAAGAGGTAAAATGACACAAAGTTTACTTTTCTTTGCCTTATTTGCAATGTGTTCCCTAGCTTTGCCTTGTCTGAACTGGATTAAGATGGAATTTGCTAAATCTTTCATATACATTTAAAATTGAGCAGCTCATGGAAGAGGTGTACACACGTTCTATGTGATTTTCAACCTGCCATTCAAATGTGTACATTTTAGAAAACACTCCCTCTTTAAGTAAAATATTAAGTGAAAATGCTGTTTTTTTCACTGTCTGGTTTATAGTTAACATTGATCACATGCACAATAAACTGAGTGCACACTCATGTCCTTAAATCACCAGGTTTTATTTTGTATACAATGTAAATCTGTGGAATAGGTACCGTTAAGACATTCAGGAGGACATTATAATGAATCTGTGTAACTTTTTGATGGATTTCAGATGACATAATCAGAAGCTGAACTAATGTCAACCAATGGATATGCTAAAAATATAAATACCATGATTAGCACACACCTAATTATAAGAATGGAATTTACAATACATACTGAACCATAGTGTGCTGTTGATTTACAACCAGTGAGTAGCTAAACAAATTCCAAAAGAAAAAAACAAAACAAACAAAAAAGAACAACAAACAGTAATTCCTTCACTATCAAGCTCTATAAAAATAAAAAATGTAATAAAATGAGCAGAGCATTTACTGAGATACGGAATGCATAGCTACTAGCTAGTACATAACTTTAGAATAAATCTGCAATATTGCTTATAGATCGGTGTTCAGGGATGCTAGAACAAGCAAGATTATGAAAGATCATGAATATTTACACAAATGTATGTGGGCATAATGCCCACATACGGTAATTAACAACCATCTCTACAATACAAAGTTCCCTGAAAATAATCTCTGTTAAGTGCTTCTTGGGCTCAAGCCCTTACTCCCCACCTCGACTCCAGAATGCAGCCAGGAAAGGGGCTACCATTTACAGTACCTCTGCTGAGATGCAGAGGAACAAAATGGAGTCTTGGCAGATAATTTTTTTTTTTAAAGAAACATTAAACCACAGGGTTAAAAAAATGAACCGGGAGAGGAGCGATTTCTGAATTAACAAGAAATACGAAAAATGTACTCCGTACTTTTATTCATTCTTTTTTTTTAAAAGAAGGATTTAGCCACCAGCTTAAAACTTCCAGGTTCAAATGATTTGGGAGGAAAACTGTTGCCTACATTAACAAGAAAATATGAGCGGAGACATCCAGACGTTATTAATAACTACAGAGAAATGCATCTTAAAGCGAAACACAAGCCTATTTCATTTACTGTTTTCGATTGATTTACTGATTTAGCAATGAAGTAGCAATTTACTTCAGCACAAATATAATTAACCCAGAATAGTATGAACTCGGTATGGTGGAAATCCCTGCTTGTAACAGTTTGAAAAAAATGGTCTACATTCATTGCCCAGAATGTTATATTATTGGCTAGATTTCCACCGTCCCTTTCAGTGGCAGCTTGAATCGCTCAGCTAAGCGGAACTTGGAGAAAAACTAACCGGCGTCTCTGTGAGCCATGGCACTGCCAAGATGTGGGTCTGCGCTAAGTGACCAATTGGACGTTATTACCTGATTTAGGTATAATTGATGTAACATAATACTGCTTCTTGACAGTTATTCTATTTATGGGAAGATCGGTGAAGTCTGTTTATCAATAACCATGTTCATGAATATTCTACTCTTGAATTATGTTACTCCTTTGGCAATCAGTATTCTCGTGTCAATGTTATACAATGACCCACCTATCGTTCAAGTTCTCTTTAGATTTGAGTGACTTCAAGAAACCTGGTAATGTGACTCTGCATTTCTATAAAAAAATATATATCTATATTTTTACCAAATAGAGCAAGAGAAAAAAAGAATTGTTTCCCATGGAATTTTCCTTTTAAAGAAAATGTATCTTTTAAGTCTCAATGATATGCCCAACTAGAATTGCATTGCATTGTAATAGAGCTCTCGTGTTAAGTATCATATGATTTACTAGTATCCTCTATTAATTCTCATTTATTAAGTGCACTTAAGGCTAAAGAATGCAACAGCTTCTATAGATCAAATTATATGTAAGTATCACCCACACTGATATTGTGACTCCTTAGAAAATTAAGCAAATGAGTGGATAGACCGCAGAGAGTTAAAACCTTTAGGTATGTTTTTTTTAAAAATGTATATTTCTTCACTTGAAATTCACAGTACAAGAATAATAAT